TTAATTGAAATTTTTCGTTTCGATATACACTACTCGTCGAAAGTTTGGACTAACTTATAAAATGCGTTGAATTATGGACCATCAATTTTGCTTCGAAGTTCTATATTTCTTTTCTATGGAAGGGTCTTAAAAATTACATGTTATTTGTAAATAACCTCGTGCAGCTTGGTGTCATTTCCTCCACTTCCATTTGTTGGCAACGATGTTTGAACTTTGACAAGTAAGCTTCTACAATGGAAATTAAATTCGAGTGGAGACGCCACAAAAATGACTCCAAAATCGTCGATTAATGATCGAACTACTTTAGCATAGAACATTCCAAACTGCTATATCTCGTCCAAATTACTGCCGTTTGGAATGTTTTACCATAAACAACATATACTTATGAAGACATTTTCAACGATGTACATAACTTTTTGATCTGATGTTCCGCTTAGCCAGTCGATTTTGGTCGAAATTCCTAAGGGAAAAATGAACGAGGGCCGTACAAATTGTCTGCCAAACGTCTTCCATTAGAAAAGAACTTGGATGAGCTTCCTTTAGAATTCGGGTTGAAGAAGACAAAAACACGGTATGCTAAAATTTTAGGTGAGTCAAAGCTTTTGACGGGTAGCGAATTGGATAGTATGCTTGCGTTCCATTTAATAAAGATGATGAATACACATAAAAATTGTTGTGTTCACTTCCAAAAAACGTTATCCGGATTCCGGAAGTCATACACAAGAATCACCCATAAAGTACAAACACCTTGAATTAATTTTATAGATGATTATTATATACTAGCGTTACCCTGCGTGCTTTGCTACGCTCTTAGTATGCAGTGAATGAGAATCAAATTTATTTCTGTTATGAATAATCGATTGTTTGTGAAAATATATATATGTCTTGTCATTTAAATATGGAGAGATATATATATGAGAGCCTGAGAGTGAAAGTGATCAACAAAAAGTTGAGCGTAAAAGTGACCTAGCTCCATACAAAACACATGCTACCGTCACGCTGTTTTGTATGGAGTAAGGTCACTTTTACGCTCAACTTTTTGTTGGTCACTTTCACCCTCAGGTCGAGCTTGGATCATGTATCTGGTTGTTGTTCAAGCATCAATTCCAAGGTGTTCATTGTCAAGCGCGGTCTTTAGTTACATTAATTATTTCAGAAGCGATGCGGGTAGCGAGTCATTTATGTTACCATTCCCAATATGGTAGGGTTTTACATTCACTTCAAAATGATAAAATTTAAATTTTAAACACAATTCTTTTTACCCAAAGGTTGCCATTCGATTGGAAGGACCCATATAAATACATGATAACATTCATAATTCGATCGGGGCTCTTGAAAAGTGAACACTTTTTTGTGCACTTCAATTTTAGCTCCGTGACGCTAGGGCCCCCCCCCCCCGGTTCCAAAATTTAAATCCGAGCACGGTTTCGTGTTCTACGCAATTTCTGCTGATTACTGCCCGCTCCCCACAATTCCTGCTCCAACCAGTGACGAGCAGTAATTGTCCAAAGTTTCGAAAAAATCCATGAAAATCGATTTTTCGCATATTTGAAGGTTTTGCCCCAAAAATTAATTCCAAACTAAATTTTCAACATTTTAATAATCTGAGGGCTGATAATGAAAGTTCTAGAGGCCCTTTAATTTCTGCCTGCTCCCCACAATTCCTGCTTTGACCGGTGACGAGCAGTAATTGCCCAAAGTTTCGAAAAATCCATGAAAATCGATTTTTTGCATATTCGAAGGTTTCACGCCAACAGTCAATTCCAAATGAAGTTTCCAATAATTTGATGACCTGGTGGATGATATTGAAAGGCCTAGATGCCCACTAATTTCTGCTCGCTTTTCAGAGTTCCTGCTTCAACCAGTGACGAGCAGGAATTCGACAAAAATTGGGAAAAAATGTATGAAAATCGATATCACAGTGCAACAAAGTTTAGGTAGGTCCATGTCACCAGCACCGCCAGTGCTGTTAAACCATAATATGTTATAATAAGTGCTCGAATAGTGCTGGCAGATACCACTTCCAGATTGAAAAATCTTGTCTAGTGGCTGAGCACTAATCGTCAATATTTTTGAAAAAGTAGATTTTCGGTACATTCCCATGGCAAGTACATGAAATCGAATTTTTTTCGTATCAATATGTCTCTATGACTCCTGTTCGGAAAAGTGAATCACTGTTTTATAATTGAGTCATGAAGTGAGTCACAATATAACTCATAATTGAATGAGTCATAATCGGAAAGTCATGACTTTCTGTTTTGCGCACCAATACTGTACGTAGATTTTTCATGATTTTCGGTATACCTCCATAGAAAATTCGCGCTCGAGCATAGTAAGCGTCGACACTAACGGTTGGTCTGACGCTCTGTGTGTACAGTATAAGGCAAAACAATACTACTACATGCGCGCGTTGCTTCATCACACACAGTTCGTTATAGTGGCCGCGCTCGAAGAGCGTGCAAAGGAGAAATAATACATACGTACGACGCTCATCTGACACCTCGTCACACAGATCGTTCTCATATGAATGGGCAAGCGGAATAATGAAACGTAATTCTGTTTTTAGATGAAGTGCCTCTGAGAAAATTTTTCAGTAAAAGTGCCCCACAAAAATATTGTCTGAATAAACGACACGTGAATTTGTTTTCATACAAAAAAATTCATGTACCACTTTTACTGAAAACAAATTTACGCGGCGATTCAAATTGAACATTTTTCGTGGGGCACTCTTTCATACAATATTTTTCGGTGACGTCACTCGTACTTATCACATAGTGCAAATTGAGTGATAAGGAGCTCGAATTTCGATGTGGCGATAACACCAATGGATTGGGCACAAAAAATACTGTATTAGAATCGAAAAAAAAAATTTAATCTTTTTTTTTCGATTTTTGCGTGTGTTGGACCGTCTACATGGGAAGTTTGTATGAAAACCTCGGAGCGCCGCTGCTATTGCATTGGCTTCTATGGCCAAATGTACACATGGAAATATCTCGAAAACGGCTGGCTAAATCGAAAAAATGGACCATGGTGTCACTCCCTAAAGGGAGTGTTAACACCCGGCTGGTTTGATAGCCAAGAATACAAATCCGGTCGAATTTGGGCTGATCCATGGATTTTCAGGATTTAGGGAGTGACACCATGGTCCATTTTTTCGATTTAGCCAGCCGTTTTCGCCAGATGGGGGGCTAGCGTCACGGAGCTTTCAATTTTACCACAATAAACGAAAATGCCGAAAAAATAAGTCTCCCACTAAGTTGAAAATTGAAAATCCGATGTATGCTACTGCGACTACTTCTGTTGTTGCAACTGCAAACTTGAACAAATCTCCCATACTTTCGATGCACACACATAATTGTTTCCATTTCCCCGAATCAAGCATAATAGTCGTTTCGAGTGGACAATGAAAGTCCTTCCGTTCCGTTATTTTACCATCATTTCACCATCATTAAGTTAAACTTATGAATATATTTATCACAATTGGGAACAATTTAAGTGTTTCTTCAAATTAGGCACTGCATAATTTTGCCGCAATTTATGTAGGATGCTCACGATGTTTCGCTTCAGCATCATCCTAATTAATCGTCGTGACGTCATTCAACTAGAATCATACAAATAATGCCGAATACCTTTGGTTTTTTGTTCAATTTGTAATAGAATCTTTTATTTTTTGGTTCATTTATTTTCTGTTTAAAATACAACAGGGAATTGGCGTATTTTTTTGATAAATTTTTAAAAGACATTTATCTACAGTTCTAAGTACAGTTTGCTAGAACATTTTTTTGTTAAAGTTTTTTTTTGTTTGTTTGGTTGCTGTTGGTTTAATTTAGATATCTTCTTCCATTTTAATTTAATATTTCAAACTAATTTAATTTTTTTTTTGTTCATTGTTCGAGTTTTTTTTTTAAATCTTTTGACATTAAATTGAATAAATTTCCACTTTGAATTCATTTAAAATCTTTGAAACTTTCGCTAACTTTGTTTTGGTTTTAAATTCTGGTTCTAAGTTCAATCAACGAAAATGTTGAATTGACCAGACGTCTAAATAGATGCAATTATTTTCTGAGAAAAATAATTTAAAAAAAACGACTTGTTAACACTGCCACATGTTGCGAATGATAAATAACAGAGATTAGATGAATTGACTAAATTGAATTTGAAACGTTTAAATTTTTGCGCACAAATTCGTTATAGTCATTGACATAGAGCTAGAGCTTTTGGAAAGTAGACCAAAGAAAATGCCGTATTTTGCATTGAAGAACACAGTTCACAAAACAAATTAAATTAAATAAAATTCAATAAAATCTAGCAATTGCAACATGGTTCATGCTTACATAAATATTATTTTGTTTCTTGACAACAAAAAATGAGAATGAATGAACGAAAAATTATTTGACAAAAAACAGCTCTACGACTGCATCTTCATTAAGTTTGTTTCTCTCATTTTACTTAGCAACTAAATTCTTTTAAATATGTTTGTTGTTTTGTTGTTTTGGTTGATGAGCTGTATTTTTAAAATGATTCTTCCACCAGATAGGTACCATCCTGGAGACTAGCGTTTCCGATTTGATTCGATTGGACTGTTGCTGCTGTAGCTGGCATATACTTGCCGCAGGCCTGTGTAGTCATTGTTGTCGTTGTTGTCGTCATCCGATGAATGTTGTCAATCGTCGAGAGATTGGGTGATTACATCGTGTGAATTATTTGTGTTTGTTTGTTTGTTTTTTGTGCATGTTGTTTTTTTTATTGACACAGAACAACACAGTGAAGAAACAACGAACGTTTCGGGTTTTTTTGTTTTGTTTTTTTGGTTTTTTGAGAAATTGTGGGATTTCATTTTCGAGGAGAAAAGAGAAAAAAGAAACGAAAAAACAAGAAAAACACAATTAAGTAAGGAAAACAAATCTTGGGTTTGGTTTGTTACTGTTGTAGTTTGTTACAAATCCTAGCCTATTATTCTATAAGATTTGTATTTCTAATGAATTAATAAAGAAAACTAATTTGTTCAGAAAACAATGGTAGTACATTCTTGTTAAGCATTTTATTGTTGAATAGAAAATGCATGTTAAAGTTCTAGAAGTTGAACTACAGAAAATTGTAAGAAATATGTGTGTATGTATTTTGTGTATGATATAGAGATAAAATTGGTTGGTTGTGTGACTTTGAAAAAGGAAATAAGCATAACAATAATATAAAGAATAAAAAGAAAACAGCCTGGTTCGTAGCTAATGTAGAAGAAGAGAAAAATAGGGAAAGAACGTGCAAAAAATGTTGAATGATCGAGTGAATGTGCATGTGCTACGTGACAATTAAAAACGAGAGTCAATTGTGTAGGTGTTTGTGTGTGAACACTATCTACAATCTGTGTCTATTGTAACCGATCGCTTTTTGTGTGTGTTTGTGTTTACTATTCCATTTTCGGCTAAACCGTTTCAAATTAACTAACAAATCTTGTCACTCACAATTTTACTCATATTCAATGGGGTTTATTTTTATTGCAAATGTCTATTTGGTTGTGCGACGCATAGGGGAGGGAAGGCTTTTCAGTTGGTTAATTAGGATCTTGAGGTTCGGTTATATAATGCAACAATCTTTACTAAATTTTAAATGCATAGTAAAGATTCTTTATCGAAAAATGTGATTTCAACTCTGTTTGTTTCACACTGAAAATTGCTCAAGTGCAATTCAGTTTGACATTTCTCCAAATGGTTTGTTCAACTCATGTTTCTAGAGATTTCAATCTAAATGATTCCATCATTTCGGAATGTTTTTAATACAAATCATGAATCTAGGCTATCTATACTAAAATCAACATTCTAATTTGACGAATCCCAATGAATTAGTCCAAATCATGGGTTTCCAAATAGACGACTGGCATAATAAGTTTGACCCTTCGACTGTACAAATCATGGGTATAAAACCAAATGAGCTGAGATTTAGCTGATGAAAATGAAATGAAAACGTGTAGAAACTGAATTTCGCCCGAAGAATGACGGTTTGAATAAATAACTAAATTAGAAATGCCAATTAGAAATCTGTTAAAACCAATAAACACCTGGGGAATATTTCAACAAAGCCGTCTGTGAAATGTATGCCAAAAATGGAGAAATCATGCTGCAGGTGGTGTAGCGCAAATTTTCCAATTTCAATGAAATTCAAATGGATAAACCATTCGTATTCGCAATTCAAAAGCAGACGAATTTTTGGTGAAATGGTCCCTTGAATGTTGAATATGCAAGAGGCGTATGAATGGCTACAACCCATGATTTGAACCCATGATTGAAATCCGTTTAAGGATAACGTGGATCTATATATAGATGCGCAAATCAAATATATCTTCTGAAAAACACTTTTTGTTAGTGTTTCAATCTCAAGGCCAATCGGGTGATGAGTGTTTTTTTTTGGTCATGGGTGCTTCAATCAGACATTCAAATCATTCATAAAACAGAGAAAACGAGACCGTCACCAAATGAGACTAAAAATCTCCTAAAACATGGTTTAAAGAAATTATGGAAATGTTGAATGGTTTAGAAAGCGCGATTTATCCATGTGCCTACGTATAGTAGATATGTGTCGCTAATCCAGGACTACACTGGCGTTTATCATCTATTTTGGAACAGAAAAAAAAACCATCGTTTGATGCATTTTTATAAAACAGTGAATCTACACCCAAGGAACAATTGTTAACGCAAATACATCCATTACCAAGCGTATGTAAACGGTTGAATTTGGGCCCGCATTTGGGTGTAGTTTCAGTCATTTTTAACGTCACAATGGAAGTAGAAAAAGAGCAGTAAAAACAAATCAATTAGAATGATATAAAAACGATTATGAATCAATATTCAATATGCTAATAAATAGTGATACTCACCTACAGGAATTATCCTGTACTCTACCTACATCTATATAGACTATAGAATATAGATAGCCATCGATATCTGGTATCGATGATGTCTGGGAGACTAAGACCTCAACCAACTACAAATAACATACTGTTACATAAATTCTTTTGAAAAATAAAACATAAATTGCGGCTCCATTGATATTAATGAATGTTGAAGTTGACTCGGAATCGAGTTGGATACACGAGGTGTTGACGTGTGAACGCATCATGCAGCCGATGTCCAAAGAGTTCGCAATGCCCTGAAACAAAGAGAAAAAAAACACACACACATTACTATTGCATCAATTTTAATTCAATGAGTAACATACCTCTGTACAAGATCAATTTTGCAGCCGAAATGTCACGTTGCCAAACTGTCTTCAGTACTGGAGAGTCGTCAACAGGGTCTTCGGGCACATATTCATCTGTGTACTCGATGATACCGAGTTCAGCGTCGTGAATGATTACACCTCTGCGCTCTTCAACATTGTCATCCATACCGTTTGCCGCGTTTTGTTGCCAGTTTTTACGGTAGCAAATCACCTTAGACACAAAACCACGGGGTTGATTTGGATTCTGCACTGCTGCTTGTCGCATCGCTCGTCGCTCTGATCGTAACTTCCGCTTGCTCTTTGCCGCTACAATTTTCTCTGGTAGCTTCATTCCATCAGGCCAATCATCTTGATCGGGCATACACCATTCACACACCTTGACACGATCGTTCAATGTACTCAATGGAAATGGTTCGAAACATCTGGCACACAATCGTGATGATCTGGCTTCGTTCACAAATCGTATGACATTGCCTTCCATTTTCTTGAAACTCTTCACCAATTTCCGCACGCCCGGGCATCGAACGTGTTTCTTGATCTGTATTGGTGAATTTGCAGGTGGTTGGGAAGCTCCAATGTTAATGATGCATCGTTTGCGATTTGTCTGTTGAGCAACAACAAAAACATTCAATTTTTTCAAAAGAAACAAAAATTCAATCGTAAATTCTTACCAGCATTGCGGCCACCTTGTCACTGACACGATTGGACTCGATGTAATGATCAAAACTTAAACGTGTGTACTTTTTGGTTGTGTACACTGCAATGGCTTTCTTCATGATGGTCAATCGATGCCGTATGTAGTCACGCCAATTGCTTCCTTTTGGTGATGGCATTCGGTCATATCGCACACGGTTGTTTCGATCACTCTCTTCGAACTGCCCAAAGGCACGAGTCCATCGCTCTCTCTTTTCTTTACGCACTCCTTCTTCGGTCCCATAATGATACTTCTTGCTGTTGATTGTGAAGTTCATCTGTGAGATGGAAACAAAAATCGAACAATAAAAATTAAACAATGAAATGGATTCACATGACACAATCACAATAGAATGCATTCAATCGCTAACATACCTCTTTGCCATTATGAATTCGCTCTTTGTCATTATTAATCCGTCGCCTAACGGTTGCATTCCACGTCTTCATGCCCCAATCAATGCCCAATTCATAGACATAGAAGCCATCAGAGTACCGTTTACGCACCAAACCATCTTCCACTAACTTGTCGACTACGGTTTTCTTCACTGAGTACAGAATCGATGCCGATACACCATCGCTGAGAATATGTTCGAATTTTTTGTTTGCTTTCAACACTCGATTGATTTTCTCCATGTTAAAAATCATATTGAAATAATACGCTTGATTTGATTTTGACGTGACGTGGCCCACTGTATGTTGCCGACCATATTCATCACGCGGAATGGTACCGGTTTCGCACATCATACGATACAAAACATCAGCGTCTATTCTCACTGCCTTTCGCGTGTGATGACAGATTGGGATGACCACCAAATTCTTGATGTTTGGCAACGCAATGACTTGCACGATGTTGTCGTGGTGTTGTTCAACCCAGTTGAGGTGCGTTTCGATTTCCGATTGCATGATCAACCACATTGGCAATGATGAAAACCATGTATCTTCGTCTTTGGTGAATTTGGCGATATCATCGTCAGCTGGTCCACGAATGTCTCGAACGTAACGCAACAATCGATCTCGTTTGGCCAAGCGATTAGCATCACCTCTTGTTGCGTCATATCGTTTGATTGCCCATGACACTGCATTTGCCACATCTCGTTCATCGTATGTGTCCGGTAGGCCACGAATCCGGTTAGTGTAGTTCTGTCTGAATGCCTTCAATCTCAAGAAATACCGCAATCGTTTCTGTGCATGTGTATCCAAATTCGTCTTAACATTACGGCCATATTGTTGGAACAAATATTTCATCAAGTTGCCGAAGTAATCATTGTTTGGCCATGCGGAGCGATTCTCGATGTCCACATTCTCAAAGCAATGCCGGAACCATGGATCCATAATGAAATCGTCTTCCTTGTAGCGCCGCAACACAGCATAGAAGCAATTTTCGATGATGTGCATTCCATCGCCATCGTCGAAATATTCCCAATTGCCGGTGATGATGGCCTGTTCAGTGGCAGCTCTGACTTTGTTGAGGAATAAAAGCGACGCCAATTCAGATATTTCGGTGCATTTTATGCTGGTTTTTGTGATCCATGGCAGAATACGATCACGATATTCCGGTCGAACAATACTAGTGGCGGCCAACTTGATTGCAAAGTATGCTTTCTCCTCCTTTTGCTTGCCATCTTCAACTTTCCGCGGTTTCGACCTATTGCCACGAATGGTATGTGCCCCTATCCTTTTTCTGCCCATTATTGAACCCTGAAAAAATGGAATGAAAACACAACAATTACTTTAGAACGTACTAGAAATGATTTTTTGTTGCTTCTAAATTACTTAATTTGAATGAAAAACGAAAAAAACAATCACTGTAAATCGAACAGTATTCACAACAAATGACTTGCCTTTCCAAATGCTCAGATCAATGTGAATGTGCAACCGGCATCAGTTTGACACATCAAGCTGAATTTGGTTGTGACACGAACACCGCACACCGTGATAAAATATCGAAACGCTCACGATATTTCGACAGCAGATTTCTTCCACAGGCTACGGATCAAAACTGTAAACAAACAAAAAAACACACAACAATCGATGGTTTGTTGATTTCGAAAATCACATGCACACGGTGGTATTGTTTGGTTCGATCACTCGTTCGATGTCACAACGATAACAATTCAAATGACTTACCCTTTTTCCCTTTTGCTGGCTGTTCAATATGAATTTAGTCGAACGAAGCAAAGATTCATATTTCATGACATGGTGAAATTGTGAACGGCGGTTTGTTTACAATAACAAACTTCAAAATGAACCAACACTAATAGCGGGAATATTCACTACATTAGTTTTGCCTGCCATCTCTGGACAATTTAAAACGTAATCGTTGAAAATCAGAAGAAATGAATTTGAAAATATACTCTCACCATTTAGTTCATTCTCTTTGGATCAATACATGAACAAAAACATGAACAATTTAAATCATAGAATTTTATACTATTTTTGTGAACACTATTAATTGATACATAATTCTTTTCTCTTTAATTTAAAATCTAACATTTTCTCGTTCCCAATATTCATACAGTTGGTTTACACTGAAATTTCAGTCGATTTTGACGGAAAAAAAGTCTGAAAACGTTACATCTTTTAACGTTAAAAATGACTAAATTGCGTTACATGAATGTTTCTTGGGCATTGTTTCAAAGATGGGGTGGGCTATAAACCATTACAAACCATTGAAAAACTAGATCGGCCAGATTGTGTTCCAAGCTCATTTTTAACATATGCTAGATTCGATTAGAAGAGTCATTTTTATGTTGTTATTTGCACATTTGTGTGATCCCCGCCCGCGTCATCGCTGACATTTGGTTGTGTCGTTCACATTCTTTCATTTCTAAAAACAATACAAGCTCAGAGATCATCGCACCTCAAACCATCCCTAAACAAATTTGCTATTGATTTGAAATTCGATTCACATAAAAAGTGTTGATGTGATTTTTCTTCGCTGTTTCATTCATACTAATCCCTCATTTTTGTCTGGTAGGTAAAGTCTAATGTCACGACGAAAGTTAACAAAATACGGGCCGTTTTTTTTTCTTTCATAATAATCTATTTTCTGCTTCTTTTTTTGAAACACTTTCTTCAACTTTTTTTCTCTAAACATTTAAAACCAATAAATTCTTTGATAGTTTCACCACAATTTCAAGCCGAATGCCCAAAATGAAATGTGGTGTACGTTCTGCATTCAAAAGAGCTCTGAACCAATAAAATATTATACTATCTTTTAAAAATGTTTCCTGTGAATTTGGATTGCTTACATTTTTGTACCAACTTCGTGGAGATGAGAAGGTGGGTTGGTGGGTAAGTGTTTGTGTGTGTGTATATTCAAATTAAAAGGTAATGGGGATAATGACTGGATTTTTCAGATAAACAAAAGTGCGTTTGTGTGTGTGAGTGGTATTTTTTTCTTGGATTTGACTGCCGTTTATACGTTCATCATGCTGTGAATATGTATTTTTTCGTTTAATTTTTTTTGCTTAAATTCGCTTAGTGCCATAACGGTAGGCGGTTCCATTATTATCCTGTAACAAAAAATATATCAATTCAACTCAATAACGGAAAACAAATCAACAAAATGCGAGGCAACAATTTTGCACGACAAACATCTATCTAGTTAAGTTGTACAACGGAAGTTTTCTTCTTCTTTTTTTTCGTTGGAAAAACACAATTCGCAAAAATAAGCAACGTAGGTATGGAGATATTTTTATATATTATCGGTGAATAACACCGAAAAAAGAGCGCGTTAGTAATTTTAAGTCCAAAATGAGAATTGAAACTGAAAAAAAAACGTTTCATTGGTCAACGCGATTATGTAGTAGATGTCTTGGCCTAATTCTCTTGTCGGTAACCACGAGTGCTTTCATGGGTCAAAATAAGATGGACTAACGGTAACAAAAAAAAAACCGACCATTTATCCATGGTAACGCGTTTTTCTATACAAAATCCATTTTCTTTCATTCATTGGTCGAAAAATTCGCACACATGTTATTCTTAACATGCTTTGAGCTGAGTGTTATTTATTGTATCGTGAGTGATTTATTCCAGCTCTCGAACCTTTTTATCTACAATTGAAACACTTCTTTTTCGCTCGCCCTTTTCAATCGGAAATCGCTTTTCAAACTAGTAAAACAGATTTTTTCTTTCAGTTATAATGATGAAACATCAAAATGTGGAAAAGATGGCTAAGCGGATAGCGTGCTCAAAAAGAAAATAAAACAAAATCATCCTTTCTTTTTTTCGCTTTGGTTAAGAGAATCTAAAGAAAATTTGATGAATATTTAAGAAAAAAAATTATGACAAAAGTCCGAACAAATTTCTGTATGAAAAAAAATCGGTCTTTTTCGATTTGCCAAAGAAGAGGTAAAGTATTTAAAAGAAAACGAGAAATAAAAAACAAACAGAAAATTCCAACGAATCACACGGTGCAATATAGAATTAAGTGTTTAAAAAGGGAGATTGTTAGAGAAGAATTGCAATTTATATTAGATTATTACAAGCGAGCGTTTTGCGAATATTTGTTTAACCTTAGAACCGTGATTCGGGCACTGGGTGCCCAAGACCAACTTTAAACACTTATATCTTTATCATTTTTCATCATAAATGATTTACACAAAGATGGTTCGATTTGTTGAATATTTGACTACATGAATTGCGCTAACATACTCACATACGCATACTACGTCATCACATATGTGCATAAGCATGTGTGATGCGCTATACGTGAAACGTGTGCCTGAATGCCCAAAGTGCATTTTTGTATGAAAACTAGAGTGTGATAAGAGATAAAAGATTTGTGTCTTGAGCAAAGTTATAGAGCATGTCAAGTACTACAATATTTCTTCAAACACTATTCCGTTATCTCTTATCAGTTCCGCGAAATATGCAAAAAACGCGGAAGACGCGTATTTTTTGTATCTAATTTTTTAATGGACTGATAAGAGATAACAGATATCTGTCTTCAGCAAAGTTGTAGAACAGGTTGAGTTTTACAACATTCCCGAAGACTTTAACTTGTTATCTCTTATCAGTTACGCGAAAAATGATAACATGAAAATCGCATTTTTCGCGTAACTGATAAGAGATAACAAGTTGGTGCCTTCAAGAATGTTGTAGAACTCAACCTGTTCTACAGCTTTGCTCAAGACAAATATCTCTTATCAGTTCTGTAAAAAATTATATGGAAAATCTCGCGTTTTTCGCGTTTTTGGCGGTTTTTTGCGGAACTGATAAGAGATAACGGAATAGTGTTTGCAAGAATATTTTAGTACTTGGCATGCTCTATAACTTTGCTCAAGACACAAATCGTTTATCTCTTATCACACTCCAGTTTTCATACAAAAATGCACTTTGGGCACTCAGGCACCGGTTTCACGAACAACGTTATAAAATAGGTTTCACGGTTTGAAGGTTAATGAAGAAGAGTTTGTTTTTAAAACGAAATATTAAACATATTACATAAAATTGGATAATATTTATGGTGAATTGGTGCAAATCATACCTGATATCTCTGTGAACAACATCGCCCACAGCATGATTGTATCAAGCCCATGGTACTGCTTGTGGAATGTGTTGGACTTGCCAGTGGTGATGGTGAGCCGGGCCTCTTTGGTTGGCCATTGTATGGAATTTCTAATTCGACAAACTCACGATCCTGCAATTGCCGTTGCCAATTGTGTTCCATTTTCAAAAAAGGAAGAAGGATAAAACGAATGAGTTATTGATTTGTGCATAAAATTTGAAGTAAAAACGAATGGAAAAGTAATCGATGGATTTCAATTTTCAACAAATTAAAGTTTTGCAATGAGCAAAATTGATAACTAAACGCAATTCTAATGGCATTACCGTGGTCTTTTCGAGACATCTTAACAAATGATGATGTTGTAGCTCGAAGATATCCTCCTCACGGTATGTATCATCTAACTCGATGCCAGACTCTTGAGCTGCCAGACGAGCTTCGGCAGCTTTCTTTTTGCTAACAAATGCAGCTCCACTTGATGCTTTTGCGATGCGAATGCGAGCCAATCGCGCTTTCTGAAAACAATAAGAACGATAAGATATTTAGATTTGGTCCATAACATTCAATTGTGTGGAACACAAGTGTTCAAAAGACACCGATCGAATTTCAATATTAGAATAAGTTTCAATCGATTCCGTTACATATGGAAATTCAATGGTTGGTCAGAGAAGATGTATTTTTGGTCACATTTCGAAACTTACTCGCTGAGCTTTGCGTTTATCTGCTCTTTGATTCTGATGGTAGATGCGACTGAAGTTAGACACAATGACGGGCACAGGCAGAGCGATTACCAACACTATAGAAACGATAGAAAGTACATATGAGTAAGTGATGAAAATTCGAATTGAAAACGATGATTAAAAAATGTGATTTACCTCCGCTGAGTGAGCAAACGCCACCAACAATTTTGCCAGCAATTGTTTCGGGTACCATGTCACCGTATCTGTGGATTGAAAACAACCAGCCGATTAGACCGTAAACCAAGAAAAAAAAACGTTTACGCTTCCACTTACCCAAGTGTTGTCATTGTTACAATAGTGTACCAGAAAGCAGCTGGTATCGATGTGAAATTGGTGCCTTTGACATTTTTCTCGGCATAGAACATAACCGTGGCAAATATAATGATGGCCATGGCCAATGAAAATACAAGAAAACCCAATTCGGATGCGCATGATTTGAGTGTATAGCCCAAAATTCGTAGACCTTGTGAATGGCGTGAAAATTTGAAAATTCGAAATACACGGAACACACGCAACGTAACAAATGCTCCGGACACATCATCGTTATCGGTGATACCGAGACCAATGTAATATGGTAAAATGGCCACCACATCAATGATACTCATCACGCTCCGTACGAATTTACAACGATCGGGTGCTGCAAATAATCGCAATAGATATTCGGCAGTGAAAATCATAACACAGGCTGTGTCTAGACAAAAGAATACAATTTTGTATCGTTCGCCGCATGGCAGTGTACCGGCACGTCCGGGACGATAGCCACATGGTACGGTTTCCACAACGTTTGCCATCACTGAAACGGCAATAAAAAATCCAGTCACATAATAAAAAACTAGAGCGGCAGTCGATGTATGCGGATTTTCGAAGGCTCGCCACATTTTTTGTCGTATATTTGTCAATTGTTGCAAATTTTGGTCACCATTCTCCGATAATTTGTCATCCATTAAGCGTTCAGCATTTTCACGTTTACGATCACGATAATCTTCGTAACAACAATCGCCTATCACATCGGGCATTATCCCGAAAAATGCCAACTCTTCATCGTAGCTCGTCAAGCATTCATGCTTTGGATAATGTAATTTACCCGTTCGATAGTAGTTTAGAATGTGTCGAAATATATCGGGATCACGATCAAAGAAATACTCTTTCACTTCTTCGTCGTAGAAAAATTCACGTTCATTCGAACCGAGCAATGTGTCTGGATATTTTTCCAATGTGTTGCGCCACGTTTCGAATCGTCGGCCGGACACATTGATGAGCAATTTTTCGTCGTCGGTTTTTCGGCGATCTTTTGGTATTGGTGGGGCCGGCAACGGATGCGTTGCAATTGGCACCCATCCAATGGCCGCAGCACGTGCAAATGGCAGCCAAGCGGCTACCGAAGCCATGCTATGTGGTGGAATGGTTTAAACAAATTGATAACAACTGCTTCCCAGATTTTGAGAGTTGTGCTGGTGGTGGTGATGGCGTTAGTGTTGGTTGTTATTGGTGTTATTTCTTTCGTTGGCCACACTTCCAATCCGTTTCTAGGCAATTCGTTTTTCGGCTTGACTAGAATTGAACCTTTTTTTTTCTTCGGTTTCAAGCCCACCACTCGAGAATGCACCCAGTTACTACTTTTAATCACTTTTTTTTCTTCTCTCTATGCTTTTATTTTCTTTTGATTTTTTCTATTTTGATTGGACACTTATTTCAAATTATTTTCTTCAAAACACACACACACACAACAGAAACGCACTGTTTCTATCGAATTTAATGTGGTGGCATTTTGTGTGGTTTTTTCTTTGCACTTGATTTGGGTGTTGGACGATTGAGCATTCTCGTTTCCAGACGCAAATTCAACACTTGTTAATTTTCACATTCACTCACACCCTTTGGTCACACAGAAAGTGTTTCAATCAAATAACTGGGATGTTTTCTTTCACTCTTCTGGTTTGCTCTTCTGGTGTATGAAAATTCACTGAAAATTTTGTCGTTGTGTCATTGTTGCCGTTATCGTACCACTTACACGCTCCAATTCGAAGACAGAATTGGCGCGCGAAGTACACACACTGAAAACAATAGAAATAGACAAAAAAAACACAATGATTATTGAAAATCGAGTCACAACAAAAAAAAATCGCTATCAAACAAATTGGTTGATTATTGCTTTGGATTTAGTGTATCTAATGGAATTTGATTTGGATTCTTGTTCTTTTTTTTCTCTC